GCCTCGTGTGGGCAGCGGCTCCGGTGAGGGCGGCCGCGGAAGCCTGGAGCTGCGCCCGCCCCGTACCGTCAGTGGGACGTACCATGCAGCTGGTACCGTCTACCCGCCCTTGTCTCGTCATGTAACGAGGACTGCGCTGCTGCAGCCTGGGCATGGAGAGTCTTGCCTGGAGGCGGCAGCACCTGGTGGAGCTATAAAAGCATAAAATCATAGAATAGTTTGGGTTGGAAAGGACCTTCCCAGAGTCTTCTCCGGGCTGAACAACCTCCATTCTCTCAGTTCTTCATAGCAGACGTGATGATTCCTCTGATCATTTTTGTGGCCCTTCTCTGCACCCTATCCAACAGGTGCATGTCTTTCCTGTACTGAGGAGTCCAGAGCTGGACACAGTACTCCAGGTGGGGTCTCACCAGAGCAGAGTAGAGAGGCAGAATCACCTCCGTTGATCTGCTGGCCATGCGCCTCTGGATACAGCCCAAGATAAAATTGACCTTCTGGGCTGCAAGTGCACATTGCCCGCTCATTCCAGTCTTCCATCCACCAGTACCCCCAAGTCCTTCTGAGGGCTACTCTTAATCCCTCCATCATGCAGCCTGTACTGATACCAGGGGTTGCCCCAACCCGTGTGCAGGACTCTGTACTTGGGCCTGTTATGAGGTTCACATGGGCCCACATGTCGAGGCTGTCCAAGTCTCTCTGGATGGCATCTTGTCCCTCAGGCTGTCCCACTGAGCTTCATGTCATCTGCAAATGTGCTGATGGTACAGTCAATCCCACAGTGTCATTGATGAAGACATTAAACAGTGCTGGTCCCAATACAGACTCCTGAGGGACACGACTTGTCACTGGTGTCTGTCCAGACATTCAGCCCTTGACCATGACCCTCTTGATCCAGGTGGGAGCTGCACCCACACCCATGCCAAGGATGCACCAGTGATCCCTGCTTTGGCAGGCAGCAAAGGGTTTTCACCTATTTTTTTGGTGCCCTTGTGGCTGTAGTCATGGCAGCTCCTGCAAGCAGGAGCTAGAAACCTCAGTCAGAGACTTGGTCCCATTTGAGGGAAGCTGCTGTTCCTCTCCAGATGCCTGCCTGCTGCCCTGCTCCAGCTGCTCTCCTTGCTATTTAGTGAGAAAGGCTCAGAAAATCTGTGAGGAGCTTTGCTTTGATGCAAGTTTAGGCAAAAAAATAAATTATATATATATATTCTCAGCTTAGCCCCAGGCTTCATGACTGAGAAGACTGTTTTCCAAATTTCCCAAGTTCTCTGGGATTTCATAAGAAGTTAAGGCATCAACAGCATCCTGGCCTGTATGAGAAGTGTTTCAGCAAGCCCAGGGCAGTGATTGTTCTTGCACTGGTGAGGCTGCACCTCAAATACTGTGTTCAGTTCTGGGCAACTTCAGATCCCTCACTGAAAGAGAGGCATTGAGGTGCTGGAGCAGGTCCAGAGAAGGGCAACAGAGCTGTTGAAAGGCCTGGAGCACAAGTGTGATGAGGAATGGCTGAGGGAACTGGAAGGGTTTAGTCTGGAGAAGAGAAAGCTCGGGGGGGGCCTTACCGCTCTCTACAAGTACCTGGCAGGAGGATGGAGTCAGGAGGTGGCTGGTCTCTTTTCACAAGTAATAAGGGACAGGACAAGGAAATGGCCTCAGGTTGCACCTGGGGAGGTTTAGACTGGAGATTAGGAACAACTTCTTCCCCAAAGGGCAGTCAGGCATTGGAACAGGCTGCCCAGGGCAGTGGTGGAGTTACCATCCCTGGAAGTGTTCACAAATGGTGTAGATGAGGCCCTCAGTGACATGGTTTAGTGGTGGCCTTTGCAGTGCTGGGAACAGTTTGACTTGATGATCTTAAAGGTCTTTTCCAACCTGTTTGATTTTGTGATTCTGTGAAGTTCTGATTCTTATGTGGGCTGCTGCCATAATGGAGGTGGGTGTGATGGGGGGTGTCAGAACAGGGAAGCCCTGATCAGGGGTGGGACAACCCTTCCCTTCCCCTGCAGAGTGCTCTGTGCTGGTGAGCCAGGCTCCCCGCACTTCTGCAGAGACCCACAAGGTGTCCTTGGACCCCGGAGAAGTGGATGCAGGTTCTGCAGGGCCACTGTGGTTTCTTGTGGAACATGTCGTGATCAGGCCATGCCTTGTCGGGCTTGGCATTGTGGGTTGACTCTTGGAACAGAAAGGAATCTGAATAATTGCAATATGGGATGTTTTTAATTAATGATATTGAGATGGATGTGTGAGAGTAACTTTTCCATCAGAGCTAAATTTGTACTTATTTGGCAAAAATTTGATATATACATGGTATTCTCAGGCAGAGGTTGAGACACTGAAGTTGTGTGTGTGTGTGTGTGTGTGTGTGTGTTCATGATTTATTTTAATAACCTAGAGGGAAATAATGTTTGAAAATGAAAAGCTGTTACTTAACAACTAGTCATGTCCATTTGGTCACAAAATCTGCTGTATTATGTTTATGCAGTGAACACAGTGGATTCTTTATCAATCTTTTTGTTGTTGTTGTTCTTGTTAAGTTACACTATAAGGAAATTTCTATTTTTTCTTCTCTAAAGAGAGAACCAAGATTAAAGTCAGAAGTTGCTTTGTTCTGCTATTGTTAAGTTTTACAGCTGCCTACATGCATGATTCACTAGAGGAATAAATGGCTTTTCAGCAAAAGTCCTTAGGCGAAATACACTGTAGTATAGTAGAAACAAATATTTTGAAGTACATTTAGATCGTTGAGCCGTTCTTGGTAGTGCTAGCTCTTTTTTATAGTCAGTGAATTGCAGCCACTTGGCAGTACTAGACCTTTAGGTAGATCATTGAAAATTACATTACACGCATAGACCGTATGTTTAAATTACGATTCCCATGACTTCTTTGCAGCAGTTCCTCATCTTCTGGCACAGTGAAAGCTGAGGTAGAATTATATATCATTGATGGTCTTGGCTTCAGGAAATGTTGTCTGTTAAAGATTTTGACCTGATGTAGAATATACTCAGGGTGGGCTAGTGTCCAGTGCCTGGTAATGTAGAGTTTTGTGGCACCAGGGAATGAAATGCAGAAGAGGTTATTCAGAGCCCTGTACTCAAGTAATTTTCCTTTGTTTTTCAGGTCTCAGAAACTGAAAGGCTTTCGTATGTGGGGAATAACTTTGGCAGCGGAGCTATGAAATGTAATTCCCTATGCAGGTATGGGTTGCTAGCAAAATGGGGGCAGGAACCTGGAGGCAGAAGCAGAGGCCTTGCTCATACCCAAAGTTCCTGGTAGCCTTTCTTAAATGTGGCGCAAAAGTTCCCATGGAGGCCGTGATTTGATTTTGTTGGGAGACTCCAGCACCTGGCATCTGCATTGTTTGTGCACTTTACATCCCTTTGGAAGTTGTGACGTTTCATACAAACAGTATGTATTTGAAAAGGTCTTCAGAAGGAGATGATTTGATGTAGTTGAGATGTAGGAAAAATAGCTTTGTTATTAAGAAACTATAAAACTAATGTTAAGAAATTGTCAAGATCATCTGCTGCTGCCCAGGAACCTTCTGGGTCATGAATCACCATTTAACTTCAGGGCCACAGCACGATGCTGCTATATGAACAAGCTGCCACACACTGTAAAAGGAAGCATTGGTGAAATCACCAGCCTTTACATGTCCTGGTTTAAGAATGTGACCTTTGTGGCACTGGGACAGATCCCACTGTTTTCCTCTAAGTATTCTGTATGTGAAATCTTTCTCAGTCTCTAACAGAACCTCCACCAAAAGCGTAGAGAGCCAGTGTGAACTAATCTCGCCTTCTTATACCCAAAGGTGTTTCTTTTCTCCTTTGATGCATATTATTGCTCCTACTAGCCTACACAAGACTGAAATGTATGTAATGTGCATGTCAGGATCTTGGTACCAAGTGCTTTGCTCTGTAGATCCACTCCACTTGAGTCGTGGTTTGCTTGCATAGCTCATCTCTTCTCTAGTTGAACTGTACTGACCTGACTGTATCTGACTAGTTAAAGTACAGATGAGAGAGTGAAAAGCAGACCTGGGTACAACTTCTAGGGAGAGGAGGTGTTTTTAGATGTTGGTATCCTGGTGGTGTAATTTTCTGAGTAAGACCGGACATTAGGAAGCATTTCTTTACAGAGCAGGTGTTCAGACACTGGGACAGGCTTCCTAGGGGGCTGTTTGATGCCCCAGACCTGTCAGTCTTTGAGAGGTATTTGGGGAATGCACTTTATAACATGCTTTAACTTATGGTCAGCCCTGAATTGGTCAGGCAGTTGCACTAGATGATTACTGTAGGCTACTTCTAGCTGAAATACTCTATTCTGTAAAAGGAATAGGTTTCACCTCTGTAAATAGTCCGTCAAAATAATACTAATACTACTCTTTGTTCTTTTCTCTGGGAAGTGAAACAAGGAGAACTGGACCTTCAGATATAACAGTCTTCAGTTTAAGATACTATAGCTGAGAAAAGGCACCAAGGGGCTTTTTATTCTTGAGTTTGAAAGATAAATTTAGTTTTATGAGTATGTATGATACAGATATCAATGCAGTATTATTTCTAGGGAGATTTAGCGGTCTTATCTCTGGGCACTGATTAAGATACAGCTTTAGTGGCTTAAGTTGTTCTTACCTGCACCTCTGAAGATCCTGAGCTATGGAAACTAACAAGGCAAGCTAACTGCTGATAATATGTTCAGCTTCAAGTATTAGTTTTGTATTAGGTGTGTGCATGCCTCGGGATCTCCAGAGATGCAGGCAAGAATCGATGAAGTACTTTCTTGCTTTTCTTTCAAGTTTTCCCACCCCATCCTTCTGTCCCTTTTCTCCCACATCTGCTTCAGCTGCATGTATGAGGATTTCCTCCAGTGGATTCATTCCTGTAGCTCTTAGCAGCTGATAGCCTAAAACTCTGCATTCACAACTGCTGAAGTAAGTGTAACAGGGAGCAGAAACTACCTGTAATCAAACCACCTCTTTATTCTGAGTGGAAAGTCAATGAGTCCGCCCAATCTCTGAGCTTCTTGGAACAGCGGGAACTGCCCAGAGATCCTTTCTGGCCAGCAGGTGCTGAAGTTCCCGCTGAGTTTGTGCAGCTTCTGTGAGAGCATAGAGTGTTGCTCTCACTGCAGCAGACAGCTTGTTGTGCAAGTGGGTTTTGGCTTCGGAAACTGTGTTTTGACTTCTAGGAAAATGTGTTATGGAGTGGAAGAAGTTCAGGCACCAGTCAGAAGAGGTCGTATAGAATGAACTCTTCTGGCTGTCTAAGAAACTGGTGCAGGTGATGATCTGATCCATGTTAGCCAAGAGTGACATACAGCCTGTTCTTGGTGGGTCATGAGACGTGGTGAGGAGCTGCATAAACCATTTGGACTTGCCCCTCTGAAATGTGGGGTGAAAAGGAAGTTACCTGAGAGAAATTATCGTATTTCAGAAATGGCAGGGTCACATTTCCGAGGAGCTCTGAGGACTTAAAAGTGACTTGTAGTAAGCAGAGAACTGCCCACAGGGAACCAAAGCTTTAAAAACACAGGAAACTGCATAGAAGCATTATACATAACATACACATAATATAGAAGAGAAACCAAAGGTCCTGGCACATCAAAAAAGACAAAAGGCAATTTATAATTTTGGAGCTAATTTAGTTGTCTTAAAACTTCTACATTTACTTAGGGCAACAAATCTTTATATTTTTATATATACATATATATATGTGCATACCTTGGAGGTAACTTGTTTTACTGTGACATTCTAAATGTGCTTGGAAGACTTGTATTTGCAAGGCAGAAGAATTGGCAGAGTGAGGAATACACATGGCTTTGCACCATATTTTTTAAAACATCAGTTCCACTGGACTCTGTCTCACTAATGATTTGCCCCTCTTCTTCCCAGGTATTTTGTTGGTGTATTAGACAAGGACTCTGGGCAAATGGAAGTGTATAATGCTGAAATATTCAACATGCAGCCCTTGCTGTCAGGTAAGAAGATACGGTGTTTAACCTCAGCACCAGAGTCACAGCATGCTAGACCTATGTACATATTTAGCTACTGACTGCCTGGTTGCTGACAGTAGTACTTTGTTTCCTCCCTGGCTGCTCTTTCTTCCTCCTTTCTGCTTTATTTCCTCAGCATGGAAGAAGGAGAGTACATTACACTCTCCTTCCAAAGCACTGTATGGTGTGAAAACGGGGAATGAATTAACTTGAAATTTAGGGTGGACGTTAGCCTGAGAGCATTATGGGTGGAAGGGTGGAAGTTCTGGAGGTGGTAACAAAGTTGTCACTGTTCAGAATAGTGCAGCACTGTGTAGGTATCCTCTGCTGAGCGAAGCCTGGAAATTGTCATGTCAAGGGACTGGATCACTGAAAAAACAAAACAGCTTTTCTTGAGCAGAACTGCTTTTTGTTACTGACCTCAGGAGGATAACCCAAAGAATTTTGTCTTTTGAGAGCTTATTTTTTCTTTTTGCTGCAGTCCATGTGTTATGCTCATAGACTTTATAGCAATAATTGGTCTGTCGTTCCTTTTGTGTTTTAGGTATATACTCTCTTATTCAATGTGTTCTGTAATTGACAAAGTCCTGTGGAGGAGATCTTGAAGTGATGTGCTAAGTCTTTTAATAATGGATTAGAGCTAAAGGGGTAGCAAATAACTGTTCTGTCCTTGCTCCTGCAATCCAAGCATACTAACTTTAGTTCTTTTATAGATAACTTAGTACCTGATGACACAAAGGATTATTGGAATAAATCCTACAGGGAGAAGGTAAAGTTGAAATCCTGTATCATATTCTGCTGTGATCCCACTACTCAGACTGATGTTTGGTTTACTGCTGGGTAAACCTGTGTAGCTTCAGCACTCCCTCTCTGCCTTACAGGTCTATGAGATAGTGCATTATTAGTGCCTCCCTTGGCAGAATTTTGATAATTATTTTAGGCTTGATTACAATCCCAGTTACTTTCTGATCCTTGCAGAGCAAGGCTTGTTGAATGGTTGGGTTGTGCCCGGTGAAATGTTTGAAGTTTTCTTAAGAGAGTGTGAATGTGGGACAAGTGGTGGTTAGCTGAGTTTTCCTCTTGTGTGCAGAGTGTCTTCAGTTCAGCAGTGTGTTTCAGTTTGCATCTCTCTTCCTAGATGGATTTGTGCATAGAGGCCTTTGGTACAAGCAAGCAGAAGCGAGCTCTGAACTCTCGGCGAATGAATGCAGTGGGCAATGATATTCTGAACACAGCTGTGACAAAAGCAGCAGCAAACATTGTAGATGCAAAGGGAGTAACAGGTAATATTACTGTCTCAGGGGTTTAATGAAGGTAATGTGAAGTGCCTTTTTCTGTCTGTTCCTTGCCAAGTATGGTGAGAAGAAAGGGGTTGTCTTTGAGTGACCAAGGAGGCAGCTGGTCTAACACCTGAGAAGGGCACATGTAGAGGAACTCACAGATCTTTCTAGTGGAAAAGAAACTGCTTCCTTCTGATCCTGCTAGTCTTGGTGCGGGAGTTGCCTGAAGGAGGAAAGGTTCCTGCAGCATCAGTGTCTGTCCCTGGACATTAGTGGGAGCTCTTCTGGGAGTTTCTGAGGTTCAGTTTTCTGGGATAAAAGCAGTGCATTCACCTGGTCTGAACCGAGACACTGAATATTCATTATGGTGAACTGTACCACTGGCTTCACAGTGGCATGTCTGTGGAAAATGGTCCATGTCCTAAACTAGGTCACAGACCCATCAAGTGAGATCCCACATGCTGTTGTGAGATAGGTTGATGGACTTAGGCTTCTGCTGTGGAGGAGCCTGCAGCGAAGAGGCACTCTGCCATGGCCTTAGTTATTGTCACTATTGCAGGGAACATTCACTCTCCAAAGCATCATATTGTGGTGCTTCAAGGAGAGTTGATAACCCCACTACTGAGTGCTGGTGAAGCTGCATCTGTATTGTGTCATCCAGCCTATGCTACCATGCATTTTCCCTGCCCTCATCAAGCGGGAGATGAAGAAATGACAGAGGAGTCACAGAGGTCAATAAAAGCAGGCAGGGGCCACACAACTGACAAGGAGAGGTAGAAGGAGCTGAGCTTGGTTAGTCTGGTAAAGAGGAGGCCAGGGAGGATCTAACAGCAGCCCACAGCTACCTGAAGGGCAGTCAGAGCTGAACCCTTCTCAGCAGTACGAGGCAGTACAACAAGAGTCAATAGCACAAGTTGCAGTGGTACCTGGATCTTGGGAGGACCAGATGGGAGACTGGGGGAACTGTCTTGCCCTGGAGGGTGGTGGAGCCCTGGAACACATCCCAGAGAGGTGTAGACTCATCATCCTTGGGGACTCCCAAGCTTTGGCAGGGCAAATCTAGGTTTTCACTGATACAGTGCTGTAGACAGTGCTACTCTGAGCAGGAGGTTTGACAAGAGACCTCTAGAGCTCCTCTCCCTTAGCACTTCTGGGATTCTGAGTTTCACTGGCTATGAATGGGAGAGATACCTGTTGACTATAGAACCCATCAGCTCTCACCCCTTCTGTTCCAGCTGGATAATGTCTGTGCTCTTGAAGCTGCTTTGTGCCAAATGGCTCTCCAATGGGACCCATGGTGCAAAAAATATATTCTGTCCGCCCTGCAGGCAAGAGATTCAGCATCAGCAAACAGTTTGTCTTGGTGCACTTCTTTCCTAGATTTTTGTCTAGTCTGGAGTGGCTTTTCTAAATTTTAAGGAGCAAGAAGTTCATGGTAGAAATGATGACACTCATGTTAAAACCCAGGATGCTGAGTACATAGCAGGCCTGTCAGAAGCTGTCAGCCTTTCTGTGCCTGTTGGAATGCTTTCTGTACAGTCACCACCTACATGTATCAGTAACAAAACAAAATGGGGAAGAGCTGTAGCCTTTTCCTTACTACTGTCCCAAGTGAGATAGACTGAACTGGTGTTTTAAACCAGTGACTAATCTGCTGTTGACACAAGAACCACCATTGAGTAGACTTGTGTTTAAAGAAAGGATTTGGGGTGTGGTCATGTTCTCGGTGTTCTTGTTCGCATGGTGCAAATACTTTTCTTTCCTGCCTCCCTCCAAAGCTCTGATCCAGGATGTGGCCCAAGATGACGTACAGAACATCTCCGCCTTCCTCCCACCATGTAATGAAGATGCTGACAAACCAGAAAATGTTTACAAGTTTGAGTACAGTATCTTTTTCTGTGACAGAGTAGTTTCCCATACCTGTAAGCCTTGATGTCAGTGGTCTGACATGCAGGAGTGAGTGTTGCAAGGTGTGTGAATGAGCCAAGCCTTCTCCCCTCACAAGCCAAAAGCTGACAGCAGGGAAACACTGTGTTGAGATTTGTTCCATATCCTGCCTCTTTGCTACAGAAGAGCAGGATGCTGTGCCTTGCTGTTGGCAGTAGCTCAACTGAGATTAGGAATGAGGTTGGCCATGCAGACATGACTAGGGGTACAGTTACAGTCCTTTAGAGACCTTTGTTACTGGCCAGCTTCCAAGTGTTGTAGTTATATCCTGCCTATTTATAATTTCTCCTTTCCTACCCCATATCTCCTAAAATGAGAGTGGATATAGCTTATCTCATTGCGGGCTGTTCAGACCAGAAGGGAGAGCAAAGGTGTTTTTGTTCTTTTCTTTAAAAAATCCCTCCAGTTCTGTCCCCAGCAGAATATGAAGCATTGCGGATTCCAGCAGCAGCCTTTGTTAACATCACTCCAGAAGAAATCATCAAGAAAACACAAGATAGAAGGTAATGCTGCTGCTAACAGCCTCGTAATAGTCTGGGTGTGCCCTGTGAAGCTGTAGTTTATCTGTGGGGCAGGATGGCTACTGCTGCCAGCTCCAATGGACCCAGGCTGACCTTTTCAGTGGAGAAGGAGGACATTTGATCCAGCCATAGCTAAGCAACACTTACCCTGAGGAATATGTGGTATAATTTTATACAGGTGAGGAAACTGTGCACAGCAGCATGGTTGCTCTTTGGGGAACTGATGCAGAGGAAGAGAATGGGGAAATCCTAAGTGGGGTCTGAAGGCAGGTGCCTAGAAGATGTACTGCAGAACTGTGCTGAGCATGATATGCCTGTGGCTGGGCACTGTCACAGCCAAATACTGGTTTGCTGTTGAGGTTGCTGTGGCTTGGCATGGACATACATGTAGAGCTATTAAGCTGCTATGCTAAGGGTCTGAAGTGGGCAGGAAGAGCACATACCACACCTGTGCTTCCTGCCTGTGATGAAGTTTTTGTGCCACATGGAGAGCCTCCAGTTTCTGCAGTGCAGGGACCTTCTTAGTAGTTGCACACTAAAAAGGTCTGACTGAACATGGTGAGCATTGACAGGAAAGCGTGCTCACAAAGCAGCCTCCTGGGCTATCCGTTCAAGGTGTCCAGGGAGCTCTTCTCAAACAGCTGAGCACTGAAGTTACAGGTGTGTCCTGTCCTTCTGAAAATGTAAATTGATTCCTGGTTCTTTGAGCCTCAACCTCTCCTTTCTTCTTCAGCCATTGCTGCTTTGTTTTAGAAGAGCTGAAGTTCCTGCCCACTAATGAGAAGAGCAGAGATCACAAAGCCCGATGCCTCTGGTTCCTGGACACCCTTATTAAGTTCAGCTACCAGAAAGTGATCAAAAAGAAGTGTAAGAGTTTTCAGCTCCTCCACTTTTAAGCTATGACTTTTTAATGCTGAGACTTGTTTTGTAATTATTGCAGTAGAAAATGATGAAGCTGCCCAGAATGAGTTGAGTGATCAAACAGCTAGCTAGTGGTCAAGCAGCTGCAGCTAGCTGCAACAGTTGCTTTCAGCCTGTTTCATGCTGAGGTTGATGATCTACATGTTGTTGAGGGTTGCTAGATCTGCATCTGCTGGGAGATGGCTGTCTCATCTTTTTTAGTTCCTTTATAACTGCTCTGCGTCAGAATGCCACCATGAGATGCTCTTGGGTAGCTTAGATTGGAAATTTTGAGATTCTCCCTAGTTTATCAATAGTGCTGTACATATAAACACGTTTTATGTTTTCACATTTTATTCCTAAGCCAAGAAGCTGGAAACTCTTATCCAGCCTCCGTATTCCAGATGCAAGAGGCAAACAGTACACAGTACATCCTTTTTCTTTTTGTGCTTTTGTCTTCATCATTCTTTGCTTATTAGTTCGATCTGTGGGTCACAGTGATCATACCTCTGTTGTATTCAGGATTCTGCTTTTAAAATGTCAGTAACTGCTGTTTTCAAAACCACTATGCAGAATATTCTGGTTGAAATCTTCAAGACTTATCATCTTCCATAGAACTTGTGTATGTCCTTGTCAGTGGTGAAAATGTCATTGTTGGCATTTTCAGTGGCAGGGGGGGATGGAGGAGGACATGGCAAGCCTGGTTGTAAGTATCCTCCTGCATTGCTGCAGGCAGAGGAGTCACCCTGTAGGACTTAGTCAAGGACAATGTGGAAATGACGGGTCTTGGAAGCTAGTAGGAATTCATTAGTGTGGTTTCAGTTTTAATAGTATTTTATGACAGGACCATCTATTGAAAGGTAGAAATCTATTAAAAGAAATATATGCATAGGTGCATATGCACACATTTTAGATTGTGTAGTGTTGAAGTGGGAGATCCCATTTATAAAGAAAATAAGAGCTGTTAGGAGCTTGTATCAGACCTGAAAAATGATGAGACCTAGAAATCAAGTGCTGAGGTTTCTTTTGGGTTTTTTATGTTTCTGGGAAGAGGTGATGAATGTCATGGTGATAGGTGTGCTGTTACAGTGGCTGGAGATAGGTAGTACAAGAAAGAGTATGTTCATTCCACTGTAAAATCTTTTTCTGTCCTAGATCCAATGGGTCCTGAATGCCCACAGGTTATTAGTAGGAAACTCATGAAGAATTTCACTTCACTGACCTACAACAATAACAGGTAAGGAATTATGTTTGCTTTGATGTTCTTGAGCCAGACATACAGCAGAGTTCAGCTTAAAGGTCCATGGAAATATTATCAGGAAACCTACCAAAATGAAAATAGCAGTAGATTTTCTTGCTTCACGCCTCCAGCCCTGCAGAATGCTGGGTTGTGGCTGGTGGTAGTCACTTTCAGACAATACAGGTCTGTCATGTAAAGGGGGGGGGCATTTTCTCAACCCCTAGTGTTCGATCTATCAGCGCCCCAAGAAAGCAGAGACCATATGCCCAGCCAGTCTGTTATAGGGACTGTTCACTGAGCAGTCCTGCTGGATCAGAAGGTGATTCGACTGACCTGCTTAGGAAAGCACACCAACAGCATCACGGGGACCCCTCAGCAGGTCTGTCCACTTTATGTTACTTGGTGCTGGCGACTACTGGTGCCCACAGAGGACCAACACTGACAGTTTACAGAATAACACGCTTTGTTGATATAAAACTGTGACAAATGAAGGTTCATGGATTGCCAGTGGTAGGGACTGTCTGCAAAAACAAGCTTGAAGTGATATGCAATAACAGCTGGTGTGAGTTAGTTATTTAGTGCACATAAGATAAAGTTTTTACCCAATAGGCATCTGTACGGGGGAGAAGACAAGTTCAGCCCATCAACTGATCCCAGAAGTTAAGATGAAGTCTTCCCTGCTTTCCCTTTCCTAATTTCACGTATTTATACCGTTTGATTCAGGTTAGTAACTCCCCATAAGCCTCCTACCGTGTATGGAGTGGTCAGTTAATTTGCATGAAGTTACATCGTTCTCATCGAGAGGACATCCTAGTCATAGAATAGAATCATAGAATCATAGAATAGTTAGGGTTGGAAAGGACCTTAACATCATCTAGT